TGCAGGCTCCCCCTACCTTTCTAAATCTTTCTTGCCCAAACCAGCTAACAATCTCACTCCATGGAGCCTTCTGGGACCGTCTCTCCACCCCAGGGTCCACTTTTCCTCAGTTCTGTAGGCTCTGTCTCCACCTGAGCCTGGCTGTGGCTGGGAGCCCTGGACATGGGTCGGCAGGCCACAGCTGGAGTCCAGCAGACCAGGCTTTCATCGACTCTGCCTGGTTAACGCCTAAGGTGGCAAGTCATGGCCTAAGCCTTGCTGGCTCCTCCTGCAGAAAGGGGATGAGAACCCTTCCCTCAGATGTGTGGAGGGTGAAGCGAGGCCCTCTGAGGGGAGGATGCTTGTTCTGGATGCGTTGGTTTGTTCCAGTGAGATATTCTTGAGGGCTAGCCCAGCTTTATTCTTGTCATCGCTCCGGGGGCACCACAGTTAGACGGACCCAGGGACCCAAGGGGGCTGCGTCTGGACCCATTGAGGAGAGGCCTGGTGCGCGTGTCACCGTGGTCTTTCTGCCCTGCACTCTGGGCCTCCTGGCTGCCTCTCTGAAGCAGTTTCCTCTGCTCTGAGAAGGAGATGGTGGAGACCACCGTGCTTCCTACAGGGAGGTTATAAAAATCCATGTAGGCACGGTGAGACTGCTGCAAGGCCCTGGCAATGTCACAGGGAGTCACTGTAAATGATTCAAGTAGGCACTCTTACAAGAGTATTGGACCATATATATATAGCTCAGTGTCACAAGCACCTGCCTGCAAGTGCAAGGTCCTGAGTTCGATTCCTGGTACCAAAAAACAAAACAAAACAAAACAGTATTGGACCATTTATGAAACGAACAGATCTGGAGCACTCGTAACAATGGCAGGATACACTTCCGGGTCACTTTATCAAGAGCTTTTGTTGAAACCTCTCATTTCCAATCAGTGGCCGATTTCTTTCCACCCAAGCCCTCAATTACTGCAGTTCTAACATTGTCAGAACAATTCAAATTTAAACAGAATGCAAGAAGCAGTAAAATAAGCCCAAATAATTTAGAACTGCGCAAGCAAACAAAAATAATTTACTCTTAAAATGACAAAGTGAAAACGGACAACCCCTAAACCAGGGGTTTGGTGCGCTTGGATGAGAAAATTATTTTCACCAACGTGTAAGTACAGCACTTCCTTCAGCCGTGAGCCCAGTTCCTTCAGACCACAGCAGTACCTGTAGTACCTGTGACTTCATCACCAATATGACATCCGTGCAGCGGTCTTCAACAGTTACAAATTTTAGAAAAGGCATAGAAGTTGTGCTTCAGAATTTCAGTACTACAAGCAGTGGGGAAATCTGCGCTAACTGCATCATTTAGCTCCTTGAGGACCTCCTTTTCCACGGTCTCAATTCCCCACCCAGACTCCAGAGCAGCTGTCAAGGAAGCGGATTTAAAAAGGTAACTCCAACATGACCACAGGGCCTGCTTAGAAATGGAAACCCCATGGGTGAGGCTCAAGACCACACTGAGTTGGGAGAGGCCGGTGGGCACCCCTGGACCTGCGGGTTGAGGTAAGTTGACTGGCATTATAGTTGAACAACTCAGCCCAACAGGAAATAGCGCAGCAAGTACCCAGATCCACCCAGCAGCCTCCCGTGTGCTCAGCAGCACTCAGCTTGGGACCAGGCCCCAGAGACTCGTCCCCGGATGACTTCAAAAACAGTAACATAGGGGAGCAAAGACAGCCTTAGAGCTAGCTGGGTGTGGTGGCACACGCCTGTAACCCCAGCACTAGGGAGGCTGAGGCAGGGAGATTCTGAGACGAGTCTGGGCTACATAGTGAGATATACAGATGTAAAACAAAGGGAAAACGGAAATGGGCAGATGAGGGATTAAAGAAAAAGAACTCGGGGCTAAGGCGCCACAGGCCTGTGGACCTGCCTCCCTTGGCCCACCCTCCCCATCACTGCCTGATGATTCCTTCACATCATAACCCTCTTGTCCAACCCCTTGCAATGGCTCCCTCTGCTCAAGTCCAGGTTCCATGAGGTCCTCTATATGTCTTTCTTCCTTTTTGGCAGGCTAGCTTTGAATTCGTGACCATCCTTCTGCCTCAGCCTCCAAGTGCGGGGGTCACAAGCATGGGTCACCACGCCCATGCTCACTGCTGCTTCTGTGCTGTATCCCAGCCTACTCACCCAGCTGCAGCTCCGCCCCCTTGCCTCCAAGCCCGACAGCATCCAAGCTTCCGTCTCCACTGCCTACGACACTGCCTCCCAGTACTGTCTGGCTTTCCTGTCCCTCCAGGTTAAGCAGAGGCACTGCTCCCATGTTGCCATCTTCTCTCAAGCTTTTCCAGCCACCAAACTTACCGCATCATTACCAGGGTCTCTCCCCAGAGACAAGCAGCTGGAGCCAGGCACCAGGCCTTACTGCAGTCCTGTCACCTAGCACTAGACTTGGCATTTAGGGTCTCAACCAGCTGCTGGTTCAAAGTGTGCTGTAACGGGACATTAGGCACAGTCACTGCCTTAGTACGGGGGTAATGATAACCAGAAATCTCTTGACCCATGATTCCCAATACGTGGTCCTACAATACTCAGAGCCTGTGTTTATTTATTTATTTTCTTTTTGAGACAGGGTCTCACTAAGCAGGTCAGGCTGGCCTTGAACTCGCAATGATCCTTCTGCCTCAGCCTCCCAAGTGCTGGGATTACAGGTGTGCGCCACCATACCCGGTTATGCTCAGCCTATGAAAGAGTCAGGTGAAGTGGCGCACGCCTGTAATCCCAGCTCCTCTGGGGGCTGAGGCAGGAGGATCGTGGGTTCAAGGCCAGCTAGGGCAATTTAAGAGACTCTGTCTCAAAAAGAAAAGGCTGGGGTAGAACATTCCTGGGTTCAATGCCCAGTACTGGGAGAAAAAAAAGAGTCCATAGAAGTTAAAAGAGCTAATTTATATATTTTAAAAATCGTAATAGAGCCAGGCACAGTGGCACACAGCTGTAATCACAGCTACCTGGGAAGCTAAGGCAGGAATGCAAAGTCAAGGACAGTCTGAGCTAAGACAGTAAGACCCTATCTCAAACTAAAAAAAGAAGGGATGGGTGTAGCCTAGCCAAAAAATCCAAACCAACCAAACCAAAAAACCTCACAACAGAAGCGGCTCACTTTGCTGAGACAAGGTGAAGGTCAGGGTTAGGGTTAGTTGCTTTCCAGCTCAGAGTAACAAAGCAAGGTTTTATATACTGAACAGCAGTGTAGATTGTTGGACAATCCTTGTAGCAATTTTTTTTAATTTTTGTCATTTTGAGACAGGGTTTCCCTATGCAATCCAGACTTGGCCTTGCATTCACTTTTTAGCCCAGCTGGCCTCAAACTCGCAGTGACCTTCCTGCCTCAGCCTCCTGAGTGCTGGGATTAGAGGTGTGTGCCACTACATCCGGTCCATCGGAGACAAGACATTAGATTATTACAAAAAAGTGCCTGAGTGTTTTGTGAAAAGACTTGGATCCTGGGCCTAAATCCCTTTTTGGTAGCATGTGAATGAGCGTCTCAGATGAGGCGCCTATATCAGAGACCCACAGTCTTGTGAATTTGCATAGGACCCAAACAAGACTATCAGGAAGACATTCTATGTGGTGAAGACAGTGCTTTCTCACAGGAACAAGGAGCTAGATTACACTTATCCAACGAAAGGTGAAATTGTTACCTTAGCTGTAGGTAAGATGAAAGGGAGGCCCCCTTTCATCCCTTTGGTTGGAATTCCCAAGATCAGAAACATTTTTACCCTGTATACATTTTGGAGGATAATTTTAATTAAAAGTTAAAACATTTTTAAAATGTCTGATTTAATAACGTAAAAGTTTTTAAACAGTGGCAAATATCTGAATGCCTATTACTAGTTATGAGGAAAGACTGAGTATCTTCACCTATAAAGAATTCTCTTACAAGCCGGGCATGGTGGTGCATGGCTGTAATCACAGCACTTGGGAGGCTAAGCCAAGAGGATCCTTGAGAGTTTGAGGCCAGCCTGGCCTACAAAGTGAGCTCAAGGCCAGCCTGAACTGCACAGTGAGACCCTGTCTCGAAAAGAAAAGAAAAAAAAAAAAGGAATTCTCTTACAAACAAGAGAAATACTTTGATGAACTAAATCAGTACTTTCAATAGGAATGGACGTATCTGTCTCACGCACGTCTCACTAAGAGTCTGACTCCTTAAGACTACAGCATTTTGTCTATTTCGCAAATCTGCTTTTCTGGATGCTTCAAAATCAAGCCTGTGCTTAATTAGGGAATTAAGTATGCACTGTGAGTGGGAGACAAACTACCTGGCTTTTCTTTTTGTTCTTTTACAAAGTTAACTCCAAATCATTCCTACTTTCTAACTTTTTTCACAAAAATAAGAGACAGTGACTGATGGCAATGCCTGTTTAGTAATCTCCCCCCTGCCCAGTGGATGTGTTCACAACCTTCTAACCCTATATCTTCCAAATCTAGACCAACTATTTTAAAACCCAAGCCTTTTGGTTTTGTAATCAAAAGATGTACTTGATTAGCTGTTAACTGTATTTTTTTCTGACTCAGAGAAATCTGAGGCTATCTGACGAGTGTGACTCACTCTCCAGGCAAACAACACTACCGCAGTTGTCAGCAGTGCTCTGTCAAGGACAGCACTGGCCTGCAAAGCGCCCCAACATTCTCGGTGGAGGGACGCTGAGTCACACTCACTTTGGCATCCGACGTCACTCTTATTTTTAAATCTGCATTATTGTACGCAAAGGAATGGTAGCAGTATCAGTTTAACTCTGTATCACAAGAGTATAATTCTGACTGTCAAAACGAAATGTGTTCTCTGCAAGTATCTTATCATCCACTCGGTGCTGTTTAACAGACAAGCAGAATGAGTGCTCCTGAGAGGATCCTTTTGCTTTATCCTGTTACATGGTGTCAGACACGGAACACCTGGTCATTATGTTCTGGGTTACGTCGCAGTGGGAGGGAGGACCAGGAAAACTAGATACTCAAGTTTCAGCACATAGTTATTCAAATAAAACTTTAATGATTTCAGTTCAATACAACTGAAAATGTAGTGTCATTAAACAGCATTTCCTACTAAATTTCAATGATGTACAGATCTGTGGGCCATTTCTGAGCAGAAGCATCATTCCTACTAAGTATTCAGCTTGTTAGCTAGGATGACTGACAGTATGATGGCAGGAGTGGGGAAGAACAATGATTGGCTCAGAGAGTTTGGCTAAGAGAGGAAAACAATGCAACTAGCCAAGTAGCTACAGATATTAGTAAAATAAAAATACAACCCCAAATATCCGTGTCTTAAATTACTAGAAAAAAATACAGGTAAAGTTACAGCAAATACAGTCTTCACAGATTTGGGTAACTTTATTTGCATTTATGATGATTTCTTAAGGCCTATATCCAATGAAACCATTTAAAAGGTTCTGTGAGGAATGGAATTTCAGGTGTCTATGACAATTTTCTTTAAAAAAAAAAAAAAAGAAAGAAAAAGCTTAAATTTCCGAATGAGCAAGATTCACTTTTGTAGGTAAAGGACCCGCTTCTTCATGATCTTCAGTTTTAGATCTAACAACCACAAGAGAAGACACCGGGTATCTGTTTAGCTTCTGTTCATTCATAAACTCCAAGTCACCATAGATACTCAGTTTCTGCAAAAGAAAATCAATGCACAATAGTACTTTGGATGAACAGTGAGTTTCCAAGGAACAATTTAGTTTCTGGATATTTGGTTAAAAATTGTACAAATATCTCCCTGCCCGCCCCCGCTCCAGTACCAGAAATTGAACTCACGACCTTGCGCTTGCCAGGCAGGTGCTGTGCCGCTGAGCTAAATCCCCAGCCCCTGTACAAATATCTTTGAGCATGAAGAATGTTTTGAGTTCAAAGTGTTACAGATACATGGTTTGGCTCCCAGTGGCTGCCAAAGAAGGCTTTTCTAAGTCTCTCAACTTGAAATCCTTAGAGGTGCAATAAATGAGTATCAGACAAAATTGCTTAGGCTTAAATGAAGTTAATGTGGTCTCCTCAAAAGCACTGATTCTAGATCTCTGATAGATTTCTTAAGTGATACATCTCCGATAGATTCCACATCCTTTAAGATCTTAGTTCTCTTTCTGGGCAATAAAAGGTTTTCCCACAAATTTTTGTTATTAAGTGTTTAACTTAGCATCTATGGAAAATGATGTATGTTATTTTAAAGGTGAGAGCAAAGAATGTAAATGAAACACTGTAACACTGATAGAAAAGTCCTCCTAGACATAAAACTCCCTCAAATCCTTACTAGTATAGCTAACAAGACTCTAAAACAAAAGAATGAAAGCATGAAATGGAATCATTGCAAACATCAAAAACTCACTGGAATATAATGGCAATATCTAATGTCTTTGGAGAGCAAGTCTACTTAGATGTAGCTCCTAAAGATAAAAAAGCAAAGAGACAAGGCTTTGCTAAGAAACTGGATGGATTTTGTTGTCAACTCATACAACAGCACAATCCACATCATAAATAGAAGTACTGGCAGCTCTGGCAGAGCAAATATCCAGATCATAAGCAATAACCATGTTGGAAAATTGCTCGTGGAAGATGTTATGTAAAGTCACCTTCATGGGTTATCAATTCATGCGTTATCAATTCTGATATTTGAGATGAATCTCAAATATCACCCTACATGAGACAGGCCAGTGGCAAGACCTCGAATACAGTTGCTGCAGGAGGTGCGGGTACTGCCTCTAGCTGGGAGGAATTGGGGAGTGGCTTTCAAGATGGTTGTCTACTTGAGCATGTGTCAGATGTGGTCTGTACAACTGTGGTAAAAAATACACATGTCCCACCATAAGGAGGTGCCCAGTCATTCCCCAACTTGCCCTTCCTCATTTGTAAGTAATTTCCCAACTTACAAGTGAGTCCCATTCCCAGAGAATGTTCGCAAGTCAGATTCATTTGTAAGTCTGAGTCTTACACACCTTTGACACAAATATATAATGTACCAAACAGAGAAATACTGTACAGTAAGCACACAGCAGCACAACTGTGACAATGTCCAGCAGACATGTGAACTACTTCCGCCATTTGTTTGCATCCAGGAATGTTCCTAATGCAAGCTCCATGTTTGTATTTGTGACAGTTCATAATTCGGGGACTAACTGTTATCTTATACTCTTCCAGCAAGGGAATCTTCAAGACAAATTCAGCAGCTCACTGATTGGACATGGGGCTGATATGGCTTCCTTAAAATCCAGAATTAGCATCCAACTTGTCTTTGAGCACTATAAAAAAATATGTTTACAACTTTACTGAACAACATTTAAAGATCTTGAAACAGCATCCAAGAGCTGTTTTTATTTATCCTCTGCCCTACAGGGTCTTGTTGTGTAGTGCAGGCTGGCTTCAAACTCACAGCGATCCTGCCTCAACCTCTCAAACACTGGAATTACAAGTGTGTGCTACCATGCCTGGCCATCTGTTTCTTTGAGACAAGGTCTTGCTGTATAGCCCAGGTCAGCCTCAAATAGGTGTGCAGCCCAAGCTGGCCTTCCTCAGCCTCCAAAAGCTGGGTTACACTGTGTGTCCCATCAGAAGCGGAGCTGGTCTGAATGATTTAAGACACCGGCATAGAATAAGTTATCTAGGGAAGGAAAAGGGGGGAAGAACTGAGGGATGTTGGTCAAAGGATACAAAACCCCAGTTAAGAAAGAGGGATCTACTGTACAACCTGGTGACTAATCACAATGTACTATCTACATAAAAACTGCTCACCAGACTAGACATGAAGCGTTCTCACAACAAGAATGGTATGGTGATACGGGAGATGTCAGCTTGATTTAGCCATTCCTCAAAAGTATATGTGTTTTACAAGGCTGTAGATGTAGGTCAGCAGCAGAGCACTTGCCTATCAGTACAAACCCCTGGGTTTGATCCCTGGCACCAGAAACAAACAGTTACATACTATAAATCTATATACTGTTCACTTGTTGATTAAAAAGTTAATCAAAAAAAGAACAGAAAGTAAAACCCACATGCAGAGTAAAATCTGTGCACAGAAATGGAAAGATCAAGCCAGGCGTGGTGGTGCACGCCTATAATCCCAGCACTCAGGAGGTTGAGGCAGGAGGATTGTTGCAAGTTTGAGACCAGCCTATGCTACAAAGTGAGCCTGAACTGCATAGTGAGACCAAGTATACTTTGTGAAAAAAATTAATAAAGGTATTCCAGCAAAATAAAGAGGAATCTAAAAGAAAACAACATAGAAACTGGGCTTGGGGGCACATGCCTGTAATCCCAGCACTTGGGAGGCTAAGACAAGAGGATTGCCTAGAGCTCAAGGCCAGCCTGGGCTATAAGGCCAGCCTGAATTACAGTGAGACCCTGTCTCAATGCCTCTCCACCAAAAAAAAAAAAAGAAAAAGAAAAAGAAAGCAACACAAAATACAAGAAATAGTAGCAGTTGAGATGACTCAGAAAATGCAAAAAAAGTTACAACTAAAAGTTCCATTAGGTGAAGGTATTTAAAAGATTTTTTAAATTCAGTTTTTGTTCAAACATGACTACAATCACCAGTCAAAGGATTTGTTTTTACTATTTACGAAGTTATAAACACTGGTTTTTGGAGTCAGGTATGGTGGCACATGCACTTAGGAGGCCGAGGTAGGAAACTGTGAGTGCCAGACCAGTGTGGGCTACACAGCAAGTTAAATGCCAACCTAGACTAAGAGCAAAAAATCCTGTCTCAAAAAAAGAAAGGAAAAAAAAGCTGACTACTGGACTTTAATCTTTTCAGATCAACTTACAGATATAGCATGGAAATATAAATATAAAGTAATTTATTATCATCGATCATAGTAAGTAAAAACAATTGAGAAACAATACAGGAAGGGGAAGAAAATCTAGTACTGACCTATCAACAGAAATTTATAAAGCAATCATGAAAGGGATACAAAATAACATACATTACAAATGAAGGTGAAAACAGGAAATGAAATCCTTATTCTTTAGTAGATGCTACATTATTCCTCCAGTTAATTGAAGAACATGATCAATTTTGAAAAAGCTAAGTACCTGGAAAATTGAAAGACTTCAGACTATGATTTAACTTAAAAATGAAAAAGCCTTTCGTAGGCCCCCAGAGGGAGGGCCCCCAGTGCATGGGGAGCCACGGGCGGGAGCACCCATCTTCCGATCGGCAGCTCACTCCATGCCTCGTAGGCCACCAGAGGGAGGGCCCCCAGCACATGGGGAGCCACGGGCGGGGAGCGCCAGTGTTCCGACCGGCAGCTCGCTCCCTGCCTCGTAGCCCACCGGAGGGAGGGCCCCCAGCGCATGGGGAGCCACGGGCGGGGAGCGCCAGTCTTCCGACCGGCAGCTCGCTCCCTGCCTCGTAGGCCACCGGAGGGAGGGCCTCCGGCGCACGGGGAGCCACGGGTGGGGAGCGCCTGTCTTCTGGCTGACTCACTTCCTGCCTCATAGATGCCTGGAGGGAGGGCCCCCGGCGCATGGGGAGCCATGCGGCTGAGGGCGCTGTGGCGCAATGGCCTTCAGGCCGGCCGCCGCTGCTCAATTGAGAACTATCGTGACACAGAGAAACAATGACACAATTGGCCCACCATGCACCAGCTGCAGATGCCCACCTAAGGATGTGTGTGAATCATTCAAACACGGAAAAACCCCTGGGAGTACATGCTATACAACGGGCCACTCTCGCTCCTGCCATTGAGAACCAGAAAGGTCTAGAGTCAGCAGAGGAGCAACTGCTGAACAAGGACTCGGAGAACATGAGAATGCAGACTAAGCCTGAGAGGTCAGAGGTTCTGTGGACTGGGGTCACGAGAGCCCCTCCGAAGCTGTAAACCAGGAGGACCTTGCACAATACCTGGGGAGACTCCCTGGAAGCCATTCTTCCCCTGACAGTACAGGCTGTGGTGGAGCTCCGGAGAAGTCTGCAACAGGATTCCTGCTGCCTGTGCTGACAGCTGGGCAGAGGACGCTAACTGGTTGTGGGGTCCCAATGCGATGGGAGGCTGGAGAGAAAACGCTACAAAAAATGGCTTTGGCCCCAGACGGCTCACTTGATTTTTGACAACCCTTAGGCTCTAACTACTTGTTAGATCCTTCTTGCGTATGTCTGTCTTCCTGAGAAACCACTTCTAAGATACCAACATGTATTACAGCAGTCACTGATATTTTCCTACTAATCTATCCATAACTCTGTAATGTTTGTATTGTTCCTACCCTATTTCATAAATGGATGCATGTTTATTATTATGTGTTTCCTACAACAACCATTGAGAATAGTTAATGATTATTCAATAGGTTACTCATGTATTGTTCTATTTATTTTCTTTTGAAGACACCTAAGTAGAGTACAACAACTATTGATAATCTCCTACCTCTTTTGTCTGTAACTCACTATTGTCTATTTGTTTTCCTGAGAAACTATCTTGTCGATAACAATATGTAAAACAATAACCATTGATAATTTCCTACCACTTTGTCTGTAATTCGGTAAGCTCCCCCCTCATTATTGTTATCCTTCTTTTACTCTTTAAAATAAAAAAAAAAAGAAAAAGCCTTAATTTTATGCCACATGTATGTATTACTTCTGAAAGTTAAAGACTACATTTAATCAGTAAATAGGTACTTCTGCTTTAGAGCTGGCTCTGTCACTAACTAGTTATTTGATCTTGGATAAATTACCTAAATCTTTTTTTTTTTTGTCTTTGTGAGACAGGGTCTGGCTATGCATTTCAGGCTGGCTTTGATCTTATTTTGTAGCTCAGGCTGGTCTTGAACTCACAACAATCCTCCTGCCTCAGTCTCCTAAATGCTGGGATTAAAGGTGTGCACCACCACAACTGGCTGGTTTCTGGTCTTTTTGAGACAGGATTTCACTACACAGTTCAGGTTGGCCTTAAACTCACTTTGTAGCTCATGGCCGGCCTCAAACTCAAAGTGATCCTCCTGCCTCAGTCTCCCAAGTGCTGGGATTACAGGTATGCACCACTATATGTGGCATGCCATAGCTTCTTAATCCAAATTTTGTAAAGAAACTAAATGTTAGAAAAGATTTAAGGGCTGGGCATGCAGTGGCACATGCCTATAATCCCAGCACTGGTAGCTGAGGCAGAAGGATTGCTGTGAGTTTGAGGCCAGCCTGGGCTACAAAGTGAGTTCAAGGCCAGCCTGAACTACATAATGAAACCCTGTCTCAAAGAGACCAAAAAAAAAAAAGATGTGGTGCTTACACTGATTTCTATTATCTACCTGTGTTATGAGACTTAAACCTTCTAAAGGGCAAGGTTCTTGGTCTTGTTTTATTTTTGTTTTCTTTTCCCTGTTCTTTGAGACAAAAATCTCATTATGTTGTCCAGGCTGAGTCTTGAACTCCTAAGCTCAAGTAAATCCTTCTATCTCAGCCTCTCAAGTGCTAGGATTACATGCATGTACCATGTCTGGCTTGGGCTTACTCTTCACTGCATCTACAGTTCCTTGAACAGCGCCTGGCAAGTAATCAATGATCCAGAAATGTATTTGATTTACTAATGTGTGCTAGCAGCAGTCTTGTTAAACCACTCTCTAGCCTTTACTCCGGCACTGGGACTTGAACCTAGGACCTTCGCACTGAGCTACCTCCTAGTCTCTTTATAAAAAAATTTTTTTAATTATGAGACAGGGTTTCACTAAGTTGCTAAGTTGCCCAGTTGGGGCTCCAACTCGTGATCCTCCTGCCTCAACTTCTCAGACACCTGGGATTACAGGCCGTTTGCCATCACGCCCAGCTTTCTTAAACCACTTTTCACTGAATGTATGAAATCAGATGATCATGGTCTTGACAAAAAGCTTAGAACACTGCTATTCCAGAAACAGCAACAACAAAGAGGCACAAAGATAATGAGGCAACACGGAGACAGTATCTATCATCACCATCTGTTGCTATAGCAAGTTTCTGAGGTTGCCTAGTCTCCAGGAAGGACAGCCAATACTGCTGTACTCTTTCCCTGTCAAGTTTGGCCTGCTTAGCAAGGACAAGCACAAGTGACAGCTCTTTATTATCCCAACTAGATAGTTAATCTCATCCCATGAGGTTTAAAAATTACATCATAAAGTGAAAAATGCAACAAGGAAAACCACGTGAACAGGAGATCAAAATCTTTATATGTTACCTCACTCATATTACAAAGATGTAAGATCAACCAAGGAAATGAAATCCTTTGCCACCTCTTTCTGGTCATTATGACCAAATGGTATGCGATTTTTTTTTTTTTTTTTTTTAGTATCATGGACTAAACTTACAATCTCACGCTTGCCAGGCAGGTGCTGTGCCGCTGAGCTACACCCAAGGTGATCAAATGGTATGTAATGAGTACTTACTAGGTGCAAAGCACACTAAATCATTTCAGTTTTCCTAAATAAGAGAACTAGAGTTGCTCACAAGTTTCTAAGACCACACTACCTTCCTGATGTTTACTGACACCATTTCAAACTGTGTTTACAGTGACCAAAAAGGAAGCTTTTCATATCTGACGTACAGGTTCCAAGGGTACCATGTCTACCATATAAAACAGAGACCCATTTTTCAGTTGTCTCATAAATACCTTGAAACATATAGGATTGTCATCTGTGTAAATAATATATGTAATGCTGCTTATAGATGAATGATACTTGCAGAACTTAAAACAAAGTCTCTAGACTATTCAGAGGGGTCAGAAAAACTTATATTCCAATACTAACTTCATGAAAAAGCATTGAGAAAGTAAAGTTTTAAAACAGGGACTTGTGGCCGAGAAAACTTGCATAACTTTTCTAATGCTAAATTCTACATCATTTTTACAGTGAGCAAAAGAGAAAACACCAGAAAAAGGTGGAGTATTCATACTATATTTGAAAACAGGAAACAAAACATTAACATCTATTAAAAATTGCTTATACTGAAAATAAAATGGCAATACAATAGTTCTGGATGATAGAATGAGTGATTTTCCTATTCCTTTATATGTACCTTATAAATTTCTATGCTAAGGGTACTTTTTATAGAAAAACATGCTTAAAATTATTACCTGCCCAAACTATGGTTTCACATGCAAAGTAAAGCCTCAAAGAAATGTGTCCAGATGGATTTTTCCATAGATTTTTTTTAGAAAAAGAATCTTAAAAGTCTAAGTTCACTCAGTGAAGCCATGACTTTATTTATTTTTGGTACCGGGAATAGAACTCAGGACCTTGTGCTTGCCAGGCAAGTGCTGTGCCACTGAACTATGTCCCTGGCCCACACCATGACTTTAAAGATAGGAAAGGAAAGCATTCTCGAAAACAGCAAGCAAGTAACACCCTGTGGCCTGTGTCTGGAGGAGTCCAAATGTATTGTTGATGCCCTGTGCTTTACGTCACAAGGGCCTGAGGCATATGCGAGAACAGTGGGATATTCTTAACTTAGAAATAAGAAGAGAAATTTTCTCACAGAATTAAAGTTATACAATCAAAACAAAACTTATCACAATAGAGATACTTGAAAAAGAGCAAGGGTCATATAAAATATCCCCAGATCTGCCAGGGATATAGCTCTGTGGTACAGCACCTGCTTGGCAAGCTGAGTTTGAGTCTCAGTACCAAAAAAACAAAAACAAAAACAAAAAAAAACCCTAAAAAACCCCAGATCTGTGAGACACAGTATAACCATAATCACAACAAGAATCACAGGTATGTGTAAGCAATACCCGAAGATTAAGAGAGGGCAAGCCATGAACTGCCCACCACAGAACTGTTTAGATAAAAGCATTTGAACATCCTACCTCAAAACATGAACATTTAGTTCCAGCAGTGTCTGCCTTCCCAGTGTTAAAAAGGGCACACATAAGATAGCAGCTCCTGATATGAATCAACTCATCAAATTCCCCACATACAATTCCAGGCTGATGAAAAGAGTAATGGCTCTGGAACACGATTATCTCAAGTTCATATCCTGATTCTACCATTTACTAGCATATGACACAGGGGCAATTAGAAACTCTCCTTTGTGGTTTTCCCAGCTGCAATGGGGATAGTAAAAGCAGCCATCTCCCAGGGCTACTACGAAGACTAAATGACTGCATTCAGATAAAATATTTAGAACAGTGCCCAGTAAAAAGTGCTCAACATCAGTTAGTACATTTAGGGACCAGAACATGTGGTGAATTTAATGAGATAAAGCCACCTAACCAGCCAAATACTTTCCTGGCTATAGCCAGACCAAAATCAATATATATCTTACTCCTAGGGGCATCCTAGGAGTCAAAAGAAATAATACAAGAAGAGAGAGAACAAGGTGTCACAAGCTAGGGGTCAACAAGAACTTATGATCTTGGTTTGGAGCTTTGATGCCATGAGGGTTTAAAAGTGCATGAGGCTCCCGGTACCGGAGAAAAACCAAAAAAAAAAAAAAAAAAAAAAAGTGCATGAGGCAACTCAAAGGGAAGTAACAGGCAAAGGCAATTCTACCCAAGATGCATAATTTCAGCTTTATCAGGAATGATACAATGATTAAAACATAATTATGAGGAAACACAAGTAATGTAGTAAGAAGATGTTACCAATATAGTCACATAAACACATGAGTTTGGAAGAAATTTTTTTTTTGGTACCAGGAATCAAACTCAGGACCTTGAGCTTGCCAGGCAGGCGCTTGTGCCTCAGAGACTGGCAGACGCCTGCTCAACCCTGTCAACACAGTCATCATGATGACAGTTAGACCACAGAAAACTGGGAACAAGTCTTGTGCTGGAACCTGGAATTTTCATGTGTGCCAACCTCCAGCACACGAGAAACTACCAAACCTCCTCTTACTCTAAGTAAGATGGTTTATCAGATGGTTCAGTCTTTCAAGAGCCCAGGGTTAGAATGATGTTTACCTCAGAGGGAACGTACTGCTCCACAGCTGTAGCAACAGCTGCACAACAGATCCAGAGCAGAACCATCACAGAGAGGATAAGAGTCATGGTTAGAATCCATCCAGAATTCCTGAGAAAAAAAAATCAACAGTCGTATTAAAATTTCATAACATAAAAAAAGGAGAATCTTAATAATTAAAGGCAATCAAACTCATACACTTATCTGAATAATGCAATCAAAACTTTATATACTATCTTTAAGTTTTTGTTTTTTTTTTCTGGTACCGGGAATCGAACCCACGACTTTGTGCTTGCCAGGCAGGCGCTGTGCCGCTGAGCTAAATCCCCATCACCTTAAGTTTTTCTTTAAATGCTTAGAGGAGATATTATAATAGCTAGTATACCAGAGTACTATATCTTCTTGTTTCTTTATGAAGTTTCTGTAGCATGGCTACATAACTTATAATAATGACTATAAAATCAGACATACTGATTTTCTCATAAGATATAAAAGTAAAATTACTATTGAGAGGCTTTTTGTTTGTTTTTTGTAGCACTAAGCTATATTCCCAGCTCAGACTTTACCTTTCGAGACACTAAATTGCTACGCTGCCCAGGATGGGTTCAAATTTGCAATCCTCTTGCCTCAGACTCCCAGAGTGCTAGGATCACAGGTATGTGCTGGTTTTCTTTTCATTTCATTTCTTTTCTTCTTGCAGTGCTAGAAATTTAATCTAGGGTCTCATGGATAATAGGTGAGTACTGTACCACTGAGCTACTTTACCAGCTGAAGAATATTTTTTAGTTAGCAAATAAGATAAGGCAAGTAAGTGTTCTATAAATTGAACAGTCACAGAAATGCCATACATTCTTTTTCAAGTTACTATAATACTTAAAGTGAACTCAGCAGCTTATAGAACAGGTAAATTATGAAATGATCTTTTTTGTTTTTTGAGACAGGCTATGTAATTCAGGCTGGCCTTAAACTCACTGTGTAGTCCAGGCTGGCCTCAGCCTCCGAAGTGCTGGATTACAAGCATACACCACCACACCACCTTTATTTGTTTTATAAAGAACTCACAATTATAAAGTCAGCTTCCTGTATTTCAAATACAAAGTATGGTTGAAAATAGTGTGCTTAAATAAAAAACAATTTATCACAGTAAAAGATATCCTGCTATGCCATCAGTCCCCTGCAAAATCCTCCCCTCACTTTAAACTTACCCCCAAATCTTGCCACTTTCTGAAGCAGTTTTCAAGTCCTCTTATGACTGTAACTGTGCTGTCGTGGCTGCTTTGATGTCCCAAATTAATTCAAAATGTTTTGCTCTTCATGGTCATTTTGACGACGGGGAAGAACCAGAAGGAAGTAGCATCATGCCAGATCCAGTGAATAAAGTGGACGAGGATCATGTTTTACAAGCCTGCCTTTCTACTGGATGGCACTCGGGAGCAGTACTCACTGCATTATCACACCTTATGAAGATACTCCAAAACAGGACTTCTTGAACTGCTTCAGAGCATGGCAAGACGGCTAAGAGTGCTTGAGGCAAGGGGAAGTATTTTGAGGGAGATTAATGGCAATGTGTCTTTTACTGCAAATTTTTAAAAATTTACACCTTTGCCACGTTTTCAGAATGCACTTCATATACTTAGCACCCTAACTTATTCACTTGATGGTGTGCCAACATGTGAACATGCTAAGGAAATTGTATGCCCCATCATTTTTGGTATCCCAGCAAAATAAGTGGACTTTGGAGAAAGTACTGCATCTAAAAACAGGGAACTCCCTTATGATGCTTTAAGTACACCCATTTTGAAAGCTAAGAGTAAGAAGTATTTCATGAAAAAGCCCCCACTTTCCTTTACATGGTCCAGCCCTAAACTGAGTACTAGGGAATGTACTTCCATGGTGAGAAAGATCTACCTGACAGCTGGACTGCAGGAGCAACTAGTTAAGGCAAGTAAATGGGGCTCATCTTACAGCTCATCTTCTTCTACCCCCACAACTAACCACCTCCTACTCTCCTTGTTGACCACTCAAGTTCAGGTCTCATTTCCTGCTTACAAAGCTTTCCAATCACTCTTCACACCACAGCTTCTACCAAATGCAGGTGATTACTTTGCCGCTCCTGTCTGGTTCTTGTCCACCTCCTACACAGCCATGGTGGATCAGGATCAGTATAAGATGTAGAATTAGAAAAACTAGGGTTGACTTTAACACAGGGGCTATGTAAAACCCTGAAGGGGTCAAATTTATGACTCTCCTGAACCTCCATATGTGGTTAATATATTCAGCAAAATGGCAATTTATCTGAAAATAAATTTTTAATAAATCTGCCACAACTAGCAAAAAGTTTCTATTCATTGTTTTGAGATTTACTTCCATCTTAGTAAATCTGCCCTTGAAGCCTCCAATAGACTTAGACTCTGTATATGAGAGATGGAGATGATGAACATCGATCATCACTGGGATGGTCATCACTTCCATGTCTGTCTAGACCTCATGACTCCATAGAAGCAGAGACTCACCAACTTTTCTAAGTCTCAAGTCCCTAGCACAGGGTCTGGCACATAACAGACTCTTCCAAAAGAAAAGAAAAAATGAATGTAACCTTAATTTCCATTCTAGATAGAAGGCTGTCTTCATAACAACTATGTGGTACAATAGCAGCATTGCTGGAAGAGTCAAAAGACCAGATTCCAGTCTTTGGCTGAGTGATCTTTAATGTGATTATAGAAAAATCATGACACCAGGATAACCAGATAGCTCTGGCTGATGGAATGAGAACTTGTAGAATTAGAAAGAAAAGGTTTGAATTTTAAGCACATGCACATGCTGGGCTGGGGATAGAGCTCAGCCGTACAAGCACCTCCCTGGCAAGCACAAAGTCCTGAGTACAATTCCCTATGCCAAAAAAACAAAAACATTGCAGCATGACATGGACATGCTAAGCTAGCACTCCACCCCTCTGCTATAACCCCAGACCCTTTAAAATTTTATTTTCAGACAGGGTCTTGCTAAGTTGCCTAGTTTGACTTCAAACTTGTGATACTCCTGCTTTAGCCTCCCAAGCAGCTGGTAGTATTATACATATCCATCAATACACTCAGCTATATATTAGAAACTTTTAGGAAATCTCTCTAGTTATAAAGTTAGTTGTTTCCTAAGTTAGCATTCACAAAATTGCTTTAAAAATGTTACAACAACCTGGGAGCAGAGCTCATTAAAGGGAGTAAGTCACCAGTAAGATGTTAGGTAGTGCCATATTTAGAATAAATCATAATTTAAGATTAAATCATTACTTAAGTTTCAAAGAACCATCAAACTACAACAAAAATTCTAAATTCTAGAAAGAAAAATACCTGACATTTTTCTGTACAAAGTCAAGGTCAAAAACTGGTTTATTTTCTAACAGTCTTTAAATACTTTACTTAGTAAAAGATTATTATTATTTCATTTTTTGAGACAGGGTCTCGTGATGCACTTCAGACTGGCCTTCAGCTCACTGTGATCTTGCTTCAGCACCCTTAGTGCTAGGACCACAGGCGTGCACTACCACACCCAGCTGAAAGATTAAGTTTTAAATTCCATGTAACTCTACTGATACATGATAAAATCTGTTAAGAAAGCTGAAGGTAGGGGCCTGGGGATTTAGCTCAGTGGCAAAAGCGCCTGCCTGGCAAGCGCAAGGTCGTGAGTTTGGTTCCCGGTACTGGAGAAAAACCAAAAAAAAAAAAAAAAAAAGCTGAAGATATAGCTCAGAGGTAGAGTGCCTGCCTCACACATGCAAGGTTCTGGGTACAATCCCCGGCACTGCAAAAAACAAACAAAACCCATTAAGAAACTATTTCTTTCATAAGAAATTATTGGGGAGCACGCAGTTTGAACAACTGCAGTACTATATTTGAGACAGAACAGGCCAGTAAAGTGTATACAATCTGAAACGGACTCCTTTATAGCTGTATGGAAATGCCTGCCTGAGTATTTGATACAGTAAAGAATAATCAACAGGTGACATGTCCTACTGTCTTTTTTCCTTTTTGTGGGGGTGGTGGCAAGCTGGGAACTTCTCTCAGAAGTCCTTGGAAGCATACACTTTGACAAGCCCTCACATCACTGTCAGAAGGCTAGAGAGTCTTTCCTAAGAGGGCCTAAGGCACGTGTTTCTCCAGCCTCCGACTTTCCCTTGTCACCTGAAGAATCCCAGACCTAGAGTGGATACTCAGTGTATAAACAACCTTCCTAATCCACAATGCTTCTCTATCTCCCCTAACATTATAGATGGCCAAGCAGACAAAAACAAAAATGAGAATCCCCAAACCATTCAGGCACTTTAAATTTGAGCTTAGGAAGAGATACGGGTACAGTGAAGTACGAAGTTCTGATGTTCTACTGCATAGTAGAGTGACTATAGTTAACCATAGTGTATTATATATTTCAAAACTGCTGTGAGAGGATTTTGAAATGTTTTACCATCTGAAATGATAGTGAGATTACAGATATGCTAATTATGCTGATTTGATCACTGTATAACATATATCAAAATATCATATTTACCTCATAAAATTATATAATTATGTGTCCATTTAAAAAATATTATGCATGTTATCTTCTAAACTAAAATATCCAGAAGTACAAGTTCAGAAAACAAAAGATAACAAAATTGACTTTTGAGATATATATACATGTATGTGTGTGTATATATATACATATATATGTGTGTGCGCCTGTGTGTGTGTGTGTGTGTGTGTGTGTGTGTGTGTATATATATATATATATTCCCTCCTTTTCTTTTTTTGGAGACAGGATCTTGCCATGTAGTTCAAGTTGAACTTGAACTCACTATGCAGCCCAGGCTGGCCTCGACCTTTAGGTGATCTTCCTGCCTCAGCCTTCCAAGTGCTAAGATTCCAGGCTGGACCACCATGCCCAGCTATTATAGTTTTTTTTTTTTTGGTTTTTCTCCAGTACCGGGAACCAAACTCACGACCTTGCGCTTGCCAGGCAGGCGCTTTGCTGCTGAGCTAAATCCCTAGCCCTGTAGTTTTAAAATAATAAAAAGGAATGTTTTACTTAACACAAACCAGATTTTATCTACTACATACACAAAGAATACATACAGAGAGAGGCATCTTAAAAATCCATCACTTTCTCCATCTTCAAGATAGCTTCTGTGTGCTTTTGAGCTTCTCATTTGCAGATCTGCTGAAATAATAAAGCACAAGTTTATCATATACTATATTCTAAAAGTCTGTCTCTTAAAACTTGTACTACATTATGGGTTTTCTGTCTTGTTTCCAAATTTCTTTTTTCTTTTCTTTTTTGTCTTTTTCAGACAGGGTTTTGCTACGCAGTTCAGGCTGGCCTTGAGCTCATTTTGTAGCCCAGGCTGGCCTTGAACCACAGCAATCCTCCTGCCTCAGCCTCCTAAATGCTAGAATTACAGATGTGCACCACCATGCCTGGCTTGCTTTCAAATTTCTATTGAAACTGATGTTTTCTGTTTAATTACATGTGGACTTGAATAGTAGAGTCTGGTTTGCTCTAATCTAAAGATGGTTTTATATCTGTTACATGCTGTCATTATCTACCCATTCCTGCCCACCAGCGTAATTATAAGGTTAATTAAATTAACATCTCAAATATAGTGTCTAGTAAACTTCAAAAAGTTTTCAATTAGCAAAAAATTGTGCCTCGGATAAACCTTACTGCCTATGATACTGCCACTGTACAAAGCTTAAACTTTAAATAGTAACTCGTGCTGTTAGCTTGATGTTTGATGTTCCTACTAGTTAAAATTCACTTCTAGCATGGAAATAAAAAAATAGAATATGAGACTCACACTTTCGGAGTAGTTTTACTATTTGGCTAATTTACTGGGAAATACCAGAACATCTGATTAATTCACACTCAAAACTTCCTTTGAAACAAACTGTTTTTAGAATAGTCTTTCTCAAGTGTGGTCTCCAGACAAGTAGGATAGGTAAAATATAGAAATTGTTAGAGATGCAGATTCTTAGATCTTCTCCCAGATTCGGTAAATTAGAAATCTGGAGGTGGCCAACCAACCCTACTACAACCAGATTCGACTGCTTATGTTTTCATCTGAGTTTTTAAAAATAAAACTTACAGGACATTTCGCTTAGAGATGATTCTCTCAAATTTGTAGGCCCCTGTTCCAACTGTGGTGCATACTGAATTTCTGGCTTAGACTAGAATGATAATGAAAGCAATTAAGTCAGCCATACTTCTTAAGCTTTTTAAGTAACAAGTTCAACAACACATCACCTCTATTAACATTTAAATTGAGAAAAAGCAATAGACATATGTTATAAAAAATAAAACACACTGGCTACAATATATTTTAATTGTACCCCTTGAATATCAGATTTAGTGTCTTGCAAAGAAATAGATCTCTGGCATCATCAGTTAGTCAGCTTAACTTCCTGACAACAGTAAAAAAGAGAAGTATAAATCATGACAAAATACTGTACCAAGTATTATGCCCTACAAAAATGAGTTCTAATTTTAGTTGATCAGGAAATAAATCAGCAGACTGTAAAAACTTTTGGCTAAATATCTTATTACCTCTATTTCTTCTCATTCTCATCTTCTCTGAGCATTAATAATTTCCAAATTATAGGCAAATATTCCATTTTTATATCTTTTATATAGCTCAGAGCCTCTGGAATGAGTTTTTTTCCATTCTAGTTACAAGGATTATAACACAAATGTTAAAGAGAAACAGATCTAATCTCACATTTAATGAGGGTAAGGGCACCATTCCAAGAGTCAACTTAAGCTTTAATATTAGCAGCTTTAGGACTTGCTCATCAGTTTTTTGAGGCAGGGTCTCACTATGTAGTGCAAGCTGGCCTTGAACTTGCTTATGTAGCCCAGGCTGGCCTTGAACTTGTGGTGATCCTTCTGCCTCAGCTTCCCGAGTACTGGGATTACAGGCGTGTGTCATTACGCCTGGCTGAACTTGCTCATGAATTTAAAGAGAGAAAATTCGTGTGATTATGTTATTACCAAGTTTTCAGTACAGGGTGCCAGGCTCACCACAGTGCTAAAAAAAAAAAAAAAAAAATCACAGCTATAAAGTAAACCCCTCAATTAGTAATAATAATTAAAAGGTGCACCATATTACCTGAGAGGAAGACAATGGCATAACATAATTTGTTGAACTGGTGTATTTGAGAAATTTAACTACTGAATTAAAAGGAAGATAGCATGATAGGGTGGTACACTGGCCTTGAAACTAAAGCACCCTGAATTTGAAGCCTAATTCTATTACTTACTGGTAGCAAGACTGAAAACAAGTTAGATTCTCAGCTTCATCAGCATAAACTTGTCTAATGATTTGGGATAACATAGCTGTCTATATCTATGGGTTTTATGTCTTTGCTTCTGCATCCATGGATTCAACCAACTGTGGATCAAGAATACCTGAAAAAGTAAATCTGTACACAGAAAGACTTTTTTCCCAGTGTCATTCCCAGTGTTACAATGCAATGTAACAACTACTTACACAGCTTTTATGCTGTGTTGGGTATTACAAATATCTTGGGGATGATCACCATATAGTGACCTTTCAGCCAATAATAGAGTGCATATACCAAAGCACCCCATAAATTGACACTGCTTATGCAGGTTGTAGCCATCTTAGTTTAAATACAACCTATGATGTTCAAACAGCAATAAGCTTGCCTTTCTAATTATGTCCCAGTGTTCAGTGACACAGGGCTGTACTATATTTGGGGTGTGCACGTGTGCACGTTATATGCTAATACTATACCATTTTACTAAGAAACTTGAGCAACCTCAAATGTTGGCACCCATGAGGGTCCTGGAACCAATCCCCCAGATATATTTGGGGAATGTAGATGTAAAATGTCTAGTATAACAGGACTTCTAGAAACAGCAGCTACTATCACCATATCATATGAGAAATGCTAAAACGGAAGAAAAATTATCTCTCCAGGAGGCAAAATGTTTCTTCAAGAGTTATGAGGAAAACACTTAAACAACTAAATATTACATCATTATCACTTTTCTCTAATATGTATATTACATGCCATTATTTATATTCAATATTAATTATCCCCCATATCTAAAAATTTCATTTTATCAATTTAATAATAATAAATTTAGAAGACTTAGAATTCCAATTAGAAAGCTGGGTATGGTGGTGAATGCTTATAATCCCAGCACTCAGGAGGCTGAGGCAGGAGGATCACTGCAAGTTGGAGGCTAGCCTGGGTAACACAGTGTATTCAAGGCTAGCCTAAACTACATAGCAAGACTCTACCTCAAAAAATGACCCTCTCCAAAATCCTAATGAGATAAGAACCAACAGGTTTTAGATAAGGTTTCCAAGGTGTTGGGGCAAAGGATAATTGCACTGTGTCCTGATGCCTAATGTAAAAAATGTCTTTTTTACCAAGGCCAAGTAATTATCTGATGCTATGTATTTACGAGTATGCAGCTCTATGCCAAGACACATATTTACTGCTGTTGGTACTCAGATGAACATATGAGACACAGCTGTCACCTGAAATATAACTATTTTTCCATCATCAGCTTGGAGATAGAAAGTCCAGGAAGAAGTGATGAAGCTCTGTGCAGAGTCCATCATGTCACTCCAGAAGGACCGCACCAGCATCAGAGGGAAGAGCAGATGCATTTTTGGCATCAGGGACATAAGCTAAAGAAAATTTAAATCAAGAGAAATGCATTATTATACTGTGCATCTACAATATATTCAAGAGAACAACATAATATTCCTTAAATCTTCCCGAGATAGGGTTGAATCTATCACAATTATCAGCATTAAACTGTTATCTGTGCACATTAACCATGGTAAAGCATCAAATCTCAGGCAACTTTGTCAGTGAACACATTTGTAATCTACCTGTCATTCTGTCAAGAATAATACAGTGGTAAACTGGGCGTGGTAGCATGCATTTGTAATCCCAGCACTTGGAAAGCTGAGGCAGGAGAATCACTGCAAGTTTGAGGTCAGCCTGGATTACACAGTGAGTTCAAGGCCATCTTGAATTATACAGTGAGACCCTGACTCAGGCAGACAGACAGAGATAAAAGGAAAAAATAATAATGTAGTGGTATCTTAGTATTATTGGTTCTGGGAGTAAAAGGAATACCAAAAATGATGATTCCCAAACAAAATGTTTTGGCTGGAAAGGGTGGCAAGTCAGGAGGCAATTGATACTGTTAAATTCTAAGTCTTAGAACTAATACACGTTTAGTCTGAATAACCTTGCACAGCCAGTGTCAAACAAACAGAAGTACCAGGATAAAATTCTCTAGTCAAAATATACGGAATACCAAATTTGACAAGTTTCAAAGCAGTCAAGTACCAAGCTATGATTGTAACAGAGTTCTGAATTAGGTCTAAAAATATGGAGACTCTCAAGATTTGATTAAACCAGGCCCACCAAGATATTAAGGGATAGAATGAGCAGGGACAAATCAAACTATTCCTAACTTTAATGATTATATGTAGAATAAATCATGTTATAATAAACATCAGTGAAAAAAAGGAAGGGAAAAAAATCAGAAGTATAATGAATAAAATGTGAGATATCTGACATCAGGGCTGAATTTTATAGGCTGAGGGCAGTATTTTACAGGCTGGATATATATAGTAGGTGCTACTGGTAAGATTTTAACATTAATAGGTATCATCTCCCCTCGGGACTCAATAAGCAGCACTGGACCTCTCTCTAGAAAACAGGGTGAGATGTATCTTGCTGAACTCAAGAGACAGCTTTGGTTCTGTTACATTTCAGAAGACAGACATGGAGTAGTATTGGAGAGCAGTTTTTAGAATAAGATCTGTTTTCAGGATCCAGTTTTTCTATTTAATAGCTATGAAACCTTTCCTTAATCCACTGAACAAGCATTTATTAAGGATATAAATTTAAAGTGGTCAGGCAGCACATGTATTTTAATCATTAATGTATACATGTGTTTAGTCTGAGTAACCTCCATTACGCAGATGTTAAACACAAGGTGGTATGTGTATCTGGAAAGAGGCACCAATTTTAAACTGGGGTGAGGGCTTTTTTTTTTGAGGGGTACCAGGAATCGAACTCAGGGCCTCATGCTTGCCATGCAGGCGCTGTGCCACTGAGCTACATCCCCAGCCCAGGTAAGGGATTTTTAAGGTTTCACAAAGAAAAGGACACCTGCATATAGTCAAGGATTCCCTATGTACATGGGGAGAAGGGACAGACACATGAAATAGCCCATCATATTATTAAAATTAAGAATTGTTCAGTATGTATACAATTAAGAGAAAAGGAATTTAAACATATGAAATGTTTAATGGCTCAAACATTTGAAAATTTGCTTATTATTACTTAAAGTAAGAAAAATACAAATTAAAATAACAGATTGCCAAGAGTTGAGGGGAGAGGGAAGGAGATGATTGTTAGGGGGTAATGAGATTGGGGGGGCGATGAACATATTTTGCAATTAGATAATGATGATAGCTGCAGCACATCTTTGTGAATATACTGAACTTGTTCTCACTTCAGAACTGTGAGTTTTTAGAAGTTTGTGAGTTATAAGTCAATTTTAAAAATTGATACAAATTCCATAGAGGGCAATTTTGCTCTATTTCTCAAAATTAAAAATGTACATCTCTCTTCAATTCCACTCTGATGATATTATTCTATAGATATACTCACAAATGTACACAATATAAAACATCATTTATAAAAGAAAAAGATTAGAAGCAACCTATATGTTCACATATACAAGATTAAGTTATGATACAACCATATGGAGTATTTATAGTGAAAAATTAGAAGTGCTTTCTGCATATGCATTTACAAAAATATATGTGTACATCCTTATATATGCATAAAACATCTGTTTTGATAGCCTTGGCTACATACTGTAGAAAAATTGAGTGCCTGACAGACATAGGTGTAGAAGACTTTACAGCCAGGGAGAAGGAACAGAGACATATTCTTTGTATGTTCATACATATATATGTACTCTTATATCTTGAGTTTTGTATCCATTTCTATATTTCCTATGCAAAGGTCAGTAAAATTAAGAATCATTTTTCCAGTATGTTGAGACTATAGAGAATGAGGAGTAGGGAATTTTAAGATATGACACTGGAGAGTAATCAGGAGCTAGGTGATGAAAAGCACCAAAAACCATCTCATCAACATGAATTTCCATGTTGGATTGGAAATTCCTTGGATTTAAGCCTATATGTAACTGGAAGTTACTGAATTATGTAAGAAAGGACAATTACATGGTAAGATTTTCATTTAGAAAAAAAACCTAGACCTTGATGAGGTTTAAAGTGAAAAAAACATTTGGAAGTTAATTTAGCAATAGAGATAAGAAATGATGATGATCTGGTTTAAAACAATGGCAGCTGGAATGGCAAAAAAGGACTCAAATATCAATTTCTCTTAGCCTCAGTTTTACCTTATGTATTTTTTTTTTTTTTTTTTTGTACCAGGAATCGAACTCAAAATCTTGCACTTGCCAGGCTGGCGCTGTGTGGCTAAGCTATCTCCTTGGCCCCTTATCTTATATGAAATGGGGATATCTTTACTGGACCATGAGAAGAAACAAATTTATAGATTATAATTTTCAACAGGAAAGCATTATATAAAAGCAATTATCCAACCGAGTCTTCCATTTGCAAAAATAATTTTGTTTGATAAAAACTAAATATAAAATATAGTACTAAAACAAGATCAAATGGCCTATAAACATTAATCAATACAAGAACCACTTAAGCAGGCAATTTTGAAAGTCAGCATTATTCATACTTGTTCTTGTCTCAATTCAGCGAATGGCAGCTGATTCTGGCAACCAAGATGGCAAGCATATTGCTCATCAGATTGGGAATATGCTTCTGTACATGCTGAAAGAGAAAAAGAGTAAAATTTTAAAAACAGACAGGGAAAAAGGTAAAAAAGGGATTTGGCATTTTATAAAGAAATTTCCTATTTTTAAAAAAAATCTCATCAACATGAATTTCCAAATTTGGTAATAGTAGAAAATGTATTATTTTAATAAATTCCATATTGTCCGCCTCCCACAAATCAAATGTTTTATGTATACATCTATTAATGACACACCCAGGATCTGACATTCAAAATACAGGATCTTCAGAGTTACAGTTTATGTAGTAGATAAAGTACCAGCCTGGTGAACTGAAGATACCACTGAAAGTTTTAGCTCCATCATAGGTTGACTGTATGTGACCTAGGCTGAGGTGCTGAACCTCTACTATTTTGATTTCTGTAAGTCTAAAATGGAAATATCACTGCCTACCACATGGGGTTGAATTTACTTTTGTCATAAACACAAATATTTGAGAGTACTGTTAGGAAAAAAAGGGTATCAATGTCATAAAGGAAAAACAATGCAGTCAGTCTAACATTCTAAATTCTTTTTCTTTGTCTTTCTGAGACAGGCTCTCACTATGAAGTTCAGACTGACCTTAAGCTCACTTTGTAGCCAAGGATGGTCTCAAACTTGCAATGATCTTCCTGCCTCAGCCTCCCAAGTGCTGGGATTACAGGTGTGCGCCACCACAGCCGGCTTAGCATTCTAAGTTCTAAGAACGCAACTAGAAAATATTCTATTGCAGGTGATTCCAAAGTTGAAATAGGTTCCTACCATATATATTCTCTTTTGTAAAAGCACTTTTTCTTGTGATATAACACTTCATGACTTTAACCATTTTATTTTTTTTCCTAACTCAGTCATGCATTTCTGATGCACTTCTCAGAGGGGCTTGATAATAAAATAAACAGTAGTATGCAGATATAAAGATGACCAGTTATGAGCCCGAGCCATATAAATAAGGTTAAATAGCACAGAAGAGTGGATGTGATAGGGGGAAGAGGGGCCTTCTGCTACAATGAATAAGCAGTACTAAATGGAGAAAACTGCATTATTGTTCCTGAACAAAGTTAAATGTCCGCTGTGTCCTGATTATGTTTTTCTTTTTTTTATTAAACACGCCTCTTTCAGCAAAAGGGTTAACAGTGGTTTAACAAGCAACAAAGCCTTTGGTTACTTCTTTTTACTAGCATGACCAATAAAGAATACACTATTAAATACTGAGGCAAAGGGCTGATTCAGTAAAAACCTTGGAGCTACGTCAACTAATCTATGACTGAAAGGCTTAGGAAAAGTATACCATCTATGAAAAGGCAGTAATGAATTATGAGTAGGGTAATTACTACTACATTTGTCTGAATAGAATGCTTAGTTAAACAAATGTGTCCTACCATAATTCAAAATAAACATGGTATCAAAAAACAGATGAAATTTAAAGCCTGTGGAATTTCTAGCACTAGCTCTTAAAACTAAATTCACAAGGATTACAATATAATGGATGACTAGGGTTTTTTGTTTGGCAGTACTGGGGATCCACAGCCCTTATAATGAGCTAACTCACAGCCCTTTTTATTTTTTTGAGACTGGATCTTACTAAGGTGCTAAATTGTCTAGGCTGGGCTCAAAATGGTGATCCTCTGGCCTTAGCCTCTCAAAGTGATGGGATTAAAGGTGTGTACCACCGTGCCTAGCTGGATTTAAACAGTGTGCTTGTCATTTTCTAAGGAAAATGCATATAGAGTATAACAGAAACAACAGAAAAAAAATCAATATTATATACACCTGAAGTCATTAGCATAGCATCTTACCAGATTCACACTCCAGTTTGGTCCGATTTAATTCAATTCCATCATCCACAAACTGACAAATTGAAAACAGCCTGCAACCTCTCTGACATGCATACAACTCCTCTTCCTAGGGAGTTCAAGAACAGGGAGGGTTACTAAAGAAATATTTTCATCTTAGACAAGAAAAGGTCAAACAGAAAACAAAGTTAGTAAGGTTTATTTTAAATCATCCAGTAAGTTTCACACTCAACAACAAAAAAAGGAGCCAGGTAATATCCCACTTTTTTACCACATAAAGAGGTTTATTTCCTTATATTAAAAGTGACATCAGAAAACAGCCTAGTGGCTAAAAATACCTTTTTCCCATATTTTGCGGTCAGAATTTGTGTATGGGGGGGGGAGTTGAAAATAAAAACAGTGACATAATCAGAACCCTAACAGAAGCAGAAAGGAGTAAGCAGTACCCTACAATCAACGGCATACTTCTACCACATCCGTGTTTATGTAAACTGCCAGGTTCATCAGAAAAAGCATCATGATCAGCAGATGACAAATGGTGACCCAAGGCCCTGATAGAAGGAAGTATACACCTATAAAAATGTTTACAGGGAAGGATTTTTAAAACTTCACTTACTCTAATTAAGAACACAGACAAGAACAAAATCAAACCTTTCAGGTGAGTAATTGCACCAGTTCCTCTACCTATTGAAATCTCAGTTTTTTTCATTATGAAGGGAGAGACAACAGCTATTATCTCTAAACTCCTCAATAATTCTGGAAGATAGCTATCCTAGGACAGTGCCTGGGACACAGAAAGTGCTCAATAAGTAGTAATAATGCTGATCTTGAAACTAAACTTTAAAAATAGGAAACAGCAATTTAAAATACTGTTACTGTGTAAGAGCTTAAAATAAGAGGGACATAAGGCTCTTCATTACTGGAAAATATTCATTCCTTAATAAAACCAGTAACAAGGCCTTCAGTAGTTTTCTTCTTTGGTAAAATACATACAAACTGGTGTATATAGGGGAGTCACATGACATTTCACTTTCAAGTATTTTTCTTTTTCTTTTTTTGTCCTTTTGAGACAGGGTCTCGCTATGCAGTTCAGGCTGGTCTTGAGCTCACTTTGTAGCCCAGGCTGGTTTCAAACTCGCAGCAATCCTCCTGCCTCAGCCTCCCTGAGTGCTGGGATTACAGGCATGCGCCACCATGCTCAGCGTCAAATATTTTTCCTTTGTTAAGCTAACCCAAAACGTTACCCAGTACCCATTTCAGGAGACCATATAGATAGCACTGTGCAGAGAGCCTAGGTACAGAAATCAGCCTGTCTAGAATTTCAGCTTGAGCACTTTACTCCATACAACCTTGCAAAAAGTTAATCTCCCTAAGCCTCAGTTGTAAAACAAGGACAATATTCTTACTTCAATATTAAATATTAGGATTATACATTTATATCCCTGGAGCATTATTGTTGTGTTGTACTATCTAATAAACTTAACATTAATAGTTAATGAATATCCACAATGTGCCAGGCACCACGTTAACATTTAACATACACAACACTCACAGAGTAGGCACTCAGTTGGTAGCTATTAAGAATCAGTATTTCATGTTCTATACAATATTATTATTCTAAGTATAATAAATATCTCATGCTCTATGTATCTTAGGTGACTGGCAAGCTCAAAGAAAGTATATCTCCTCTGATACAGGACACAGGAAATGGTTGCTTCCCATCATACTAAGCATTAGCTAAGTAATTAGAAGGTCCCCTGATGATACTATTAATAGCTTTTTATGTATTCTCTCCTTTTTTTCTTTCTTTCCTTTTTTTTTTTTTTTTTTTTTTTTTTTTGTGACAAGATCTTACTATGTTGCCCAGGCTGGCTTGGAACTCTCGATACTCCTGCCTCAGCCTGCTAAGTAGCTGGGATTACAGGCTTGCACCAGTGTGTCCACCTTGTCACATTTTCTTATCCTGAGCTAAACGAAGCTATTCTGTCCTTATTCAGAACTACTAATGCTACATACACCAAATTGATTTTGGAACATGAAGTATTTGTAGCTGTGTTAGGTACTGTGTTAAGAGTGTCATACATATCATAGCATTGTGCAAAGAGCCTAGGTACAGAAATCAGGCTGAATTTACAAGAGTTCCAGAGTTTAAGTGATCAGCAAGGACACACAGCAGCAATGAAGCTGGGAATGGAACCCAGGCTTGCAAGGGTTCCAAAGACCATACCCTGCTAATTAGTTTTGTTACTAACAGGATTTATGTGTCTTCTATTTGAAACCAGAAAAATTATGTAATTGTACTTTTGAGGACAAAGGAAAAATTATACTACTTTAAAAATAACTACTTATAAGCAGGTATTCTACTTGCTTGCAACAAATGATTACTTCTGAAAATGTCATTAAAATGAAATTTCAGTCAGTTTCAAGTATTACACCAAGATTGGCGATGTGAGCTTGTAAATTCATCCGGCTTCATATAACACATTGCTGTTTCCTGAACTGCAAGGTACAGTAACTCAGCAGAGTACCAATATAAATCAGTGAGCTAATTTAAATATGTATAATCTAACTTTATTAATAGATGGCAGCTTATAGTAGAATCAAACTCTTATTCTACTATTTGGTTATGTGACCTTGGGCAAGTCACTTACCTTTTCCAAACGTCAATTTTCTTAATTGTTAAACCCTACTTTGCAGTATTGTTGTGAGAATTACAGATTATAGGGCTGGGAATATAGCTCAGTGGCACAAGTGCCTGTCTGGCAAGCATAAGGTCCTGAGTTCGATTTCCCGTACCAAAAAAAAAAAGTACAAATTATAGTATGATAACTTCTCCATCATTCGAGCTATCAAATTAGTATAGCCAATAAATTTTTAAGTCCAAGACACTGAGGAGGCCAGATTATTTTGAGGTACCGATGAGAATACATTTAATAACTAAATGACATCACTATCACAGTAACTGTTAGAAAACAGTGGTTATTATAAAAATACTTTAAGTTTCCCAACATGTATACTCTTTCAACTTATTTATTTTCTCAGAATTCTGGCTCATATTACAAATTTGCTAGAGAAATCTCGAAAACATGAAACAAACGCTAAAGCAATAGAAAATTAAGTTTCAGCATAGTTCCCAGCCAAATCAATATTGAGTTTTCTGATAGAAGCTTCCATGCAAGCGTGTGTGTGTGTGTGTGTGTGTGTGTGTCTGTGTGTGTTACTGGGGACAGGGCCTTTGCACTAAGCTATAGCCTCAGCCCTTAAAAAAAATTTGTTTATGGTTGTTTTTGAAAGTGTCTCTTTACGTAATCCACGTTGTCCTTGAACTTTTTTTTTTTTTTTCAGTACCAGGAATCGAACTCACGACCTTGTGCTTGCCAGGCAGGCGCTGTGCCGCTGAGCTAAATCCCCAGCCCCTGCCTTGAACTCTCTATGATCTCGAACTCGCAGAGATCTTCCTGCCTTAGTCTCTTCAGTGCTGGGATTACAGGCGTGCACCACCATGCCTGACTTTTACAAATTTTTATTTTGTAAAGGCAAGGTTTCACTAAATTGCTCAGGCTGCGGTCCAATTAGTGATCTTGCTCCGGCCTCCAGAGTGCTGGGATTATAGGTGTGCCTCTACACGACACTATATTTATAAGACAGAATGTAGGTGGGCAGTAGTCTTTAATGTAAGTCTGAAAGTCAGAATTTCTCATTTTTCGCTTGACTGACTCTGACAATTTAGGATAATCCTGTCTTCTATGCTTTTTTTTTTTTTTTGAGACAGACTGGCCTTGAACTTATTATGTAGCTCAAACTAGTCTTGAACTAACAGCAATTCTCCTACCTTAGCCTCCCTGAGTGCTTGGAATTACAGGTGTGTACCACCACACCCGACTTTAAGGCTTTCAAAAAAAAAACTCGTGGTGGCACACGCCTGTAATGCCTGCACTCAGGAGGCTGAGGCAGGAGGATCGTTGCGAGTTCAAGACCAGCCTGGGCTACAAAGTGAGCTCAAGGGCAGCCTGAACTGCATAGACACCCTGTCTCAAAAAAAACCCCCCAAAAACAAAAAAAAAACTGACAATCGTCGTGCAATGTAAATTTAAACAAATAGGGAAAGTTAAAATACTTAGATTTAGATTTCAAAGTCTTGAAAGTAGTCGCCAAAGACCTCATCGGTCTTCGTAGCCACTTTGTGGTTTAAGAGGGCAAAAAAGACTAGCCAGAACAGTTAAGCAAATAGCACAGGGAAGCAAAAACAAGGAGAAAAACACGAGCAACATCAGCAAAATCACTTCTAGAGCAAGGTGGAGGGAAGGGGCATATACCCAAATTATAGTACATGGGGAGTCACCAAGCAATTTAGAATGTTGTGTAAAGAACTCTTAAGAGGCTGAAAGACAACTTGAGAAGATGCTGCTAAAGCAAAGGCAGCAGCTACCAGCTGGGGATGAGGTGACAGGTAGTGAGAGTAGGGTCGCGCCTCTCCCAGAGCTGCAAAAGCCCGCCCGACGGCAGTCGCGTCTCTGTACCCGCCCCACGATACCCTGTAACAGCCGTTTGAATGCACAAACCTGTTTCTTCTCTAAGACATTCCCAGTCCCTAATGGCAGCGTCTCACACACGGTAACAACACAGGCGGAAGCCCTTCTTGGACATCCCACAACTCCGGGGGCCGACTTCACGCTCACAGACCAGTGTGCAGTGGGTCGGGCGCCTCCAGTGAGCCCCGAGCAGATGCGCTGGCGGCCCACAGGGCCGCTCGGGACGCGCTCTCCACGGACCCGCGCGTCTGCGCCTCCCCCCCGCGCCTCCCTCTAAGCGCCCGCCTTCCTCCCGGCCCACGAACTCCCGGATTCGGGACAGCGTCTTTCACCGTGCCCCCAGCCTAGCGCGGAGCAGTGCAGCAGACTTCCGGCAGTTACAGCAGGCAAAGGTGCCGGCGGCAGGATTAGGGACGAAAACGGGAGCCGCACGAGGGAGGCCGGTAGGTTCTGGCGCCGACGCCGGCGCGGGGCGCCGAAAGACGGCGGAGAGGGGAGGGTGGAAGCCTGCGTCTGAAGGCCCTACCTTGGGGTAGGTGTGCAAGGGGTACGTCAGCTGACAGGCCCGGTGGCAGGACGCCGTATCGCCCAAGACCGAGTCGAACGCTTCGGCCGAGGCGGTCCCCGAGCCTCCGGCCAAGGCCATGGTCAGAAGCAGCAGCGGTGGGAGCCCCAGCTGGGTCCGGACCCAGAGGTTCCCCTTCGGCGCCGCCATCTTGTTCCCTCTGTCACCGCGGCTCAGCTGGTTGCTGTTTTCTTTTCAGGTTTCGCCTCCTTCCGGGGCCAGCCCCCTCTCCCAGCCCCGCTGGTCGCCGCTTCCGCCTCCGCCGTCGACTAGGCTCCACGGTAATGAGCCCCGCCTCTGGGACTAGGAACCGCTTAGGGGTTGGCGTGAGGAGGCGGGCCGAGCCTTAAGCGTCACGGGCAGGGCGTGCCCCACACCGACCGCCCTGCGTGAGGAGCAAGCTGGCGAATGTGGTTCCGGGGCCCCGCGGGCGCGGTGCACGCTGGGGAATGTGGTTCCTCGGGCGCTGAGCGCGGTGCACGCTGGGGAATGTGGTTCATCGGGCGCTGAGCGCGGTGCACGCTGGGGAGTGTGGTTTCTCGGGCGCTGAAGCGCTAGAACCCGCGACGCTGGCACCGTTGGGAGTAGGCCTTCGAGAACGCGTGCGTGTGGTTCTGACCCGGGCGGCTGGGCTCGGGACCCTCTAGGGTGCTCTTTGGAGGGGCCTAACCGCTGTCAGCGCTGGTTTTCCTGGTGGGTCTTGCTTCAGGCTGTGGTTAGGTGCTCCTTTCCTGCCCCTGAATGCCGGGGGCAGAGGAGAATGGTGTTTGACTTCCTCCAGGGGTCCAGGCCCTACCTGTGATGGTTAGGGTACCCTGACCAAAGAACTGCGGAGCCTGGAGATGGCTGCTTATAGTGAGGACCCTGTTGGAGTCTGGAGGTGGTGGTTGCTGGTCACTAGGGCAACTCTTGGGTTGGCTCTGTAGTTAAGAGGGCCTTATTGAGCCCACTGAAACTTGAACCCTGCTACAACCCAGTCTAGGTCGACAGAGGGTTTCCATGTCATCAGATTCAACACCTGGCCAGATACTGGAACCCCTCCGCAGCGTGCATACCCAGGAAGTAGACTTACCCTTGTGCTCTTAGGAAGAGCTCCCCCTCTCACCTAAGAGGAAATCTTAGGTCCTATAATACCATCCACGAGATCCCATAATTTAGGAATGCTTTCAGAAGACCCATCTGGGGAGATGGGGAGAACATATCTTAGCAGCCTCGGTGAAGTTTTAGAATCTGCCTTCTTGCACAGAATACCCTGAAGCACGTGAAGGTAGCTGGAGTCCCCTAACGATGGATAAATTCGTCATTCGAACGCCAAGAATCCAGAATAGCCCACAGAAGAAAGATCCTGGAGGAAAGATTTACAAGCAGGCCACGATTGAGTCTCTGAAGGTGAGAAGGGATCTGGGACTAGAGACAGTGTGCAAAGGACTGTGATAAGACCTAGTGTGCAAGACAGTATCAAAGAGTTCTGTCATGGGAGACCCAGGGGTTAGTTCTTTGCTGCCCTCCCTCCCTGAAAGTGTATCTGACCATTCCTTCTGTTTCCCTCTCTTTATCAATTCCCCTACCTCTGCTACACCATTATAATTACTCTGCCTTTACCATGTGTTTGTCAGCACGTGGAACAAGCCCTCCCCCACCTTTGTAAAAATTCTTGTCTGTTAGGAATGTGTAAGTACCAAATACTATGTGATTCTGTATGCCCTATACAAACCTAGTAAGGAGTGAGTGACGATTACAGTACCTACTTTAACATCTTACTGACTAGAACTGTATGGAATAGCCTCCACAGCTGCAGTTGAGAGTAGGAAAGGGACTTTTAATGAGCTCTTTGCTACCTGGAACTCAATTTGGTATGTTAGCAAGGAAGAGGCAAGGAGTATACACAAGGAAGCAATGAACATAGGTACCTAACAAATATTATTTCACTGAAAACAAAACTTGTGGTTGGTGTCTTTTGTCACCTTGAACCTCTCCTTCTGTATTTCTGACTTCTTTTCAGTTCCTTTTTGCTTCTGCATTCTCCATCTAGATTCTTAATGTTTGTGCTCCCTAAAACTCTCATACATTCTGTGTATTTGATCAGGTGATCTTATCTATCTTAAGGCTTTCTATGCTGATGACTATCAAACTGGTACCTTCTGTCCAGATCTTTGAAGATGGGAGGACATCTGGGGCTAGAGACAGTGTGCAAAGGACTGACAGTGAAGCAGCATTCTGAACGCTTGACTTGGATTCCTCCTCTCCTGGGATTCACACAGACTTACCAGACCCATACAGTATTAGCAGCAAAGAGGATATATCCAGAAGTGCTGGGTGTGAGGCCCTACTGTGCAACTGGGCAATGTTTGCAAGTCATGCCTTTCTCTGGGACCAGATTCCTCAGGTTGTGGATGTTGAACATGTCAGTGTTTATTCAAGGGACATAGAGGTCACTTGGGGAACATAATCTTTCTTATTTGAAGCTACCCTGTGAGATATAGGAGCATCCCTGACTCTTGGAATGCCCTGACTCTCAGATACTAAATATAAATACATCTCACTGCGATTATCAAAAATACCTTCGCTTATTTCCAAGAAGATCTTGATTGGGAAGGTGATCTGCATGATTCTTAAAGACACCTCCTACTCTTGCAGTTCTATGACTTAATGAAACATATCCAAATTTAACTGTTTCTGCTTTGTTAGAATATTCATGTATAATTGTACACAGCAGTGATAGAATATTCATGTATAATTGTACACAGCAATGAGAGATTGTAGTGTCAGATTTTCTGGAAGAAAATGGTAATTAAACTACACATACTCGCCTCAATTCACTCTTGCTTTCTTTTGAGACAAAGTCTTGTAATATAGACCAGGCTGGCCTGGAACTTTCTCGGTAGCCCTGGGTGATCTTGAGTTCACTGTCCTCCTGCCTCACTCCCTAAGTGCTGGGACGATAGGCACATACCACCGTGACCAGCTTCACTCGTATTTTAATATGCCCCTCTCTCTTCTGTGTCCCTGCTTGTGCCCCAGTTAAGAATCACTACATGAAATGATGAAAGTAAATGGCCATGGTGGTGCATGCCTGTGATCCCAGCACTCAGAGGCTGAGGCAGGAGGATTACCACAAGTTGGAGGCTAGCCTGGGCTACGTGCTGAATTCAAGGCCAATCTGAACTAATTAGTGAGACTGTCTCAAAAAAGGTGGAGGGGCAGGGATGTGGCTCAGTGGTAGTGCTCTTGCCTTCCATGCACAAGGCCTTGGGTTCAATTCCCCAGCAACGCTCCCCCAAAAGTAAATGATGTATTGGGATCAGAATAAACAATAGGCATATAGAATAATATGTCCCTTAAATATATTAGCTTTTCTTCCAAATGTGTTGCTTATTCTCCTACATTTATGTCTCTATTTATGATGGTGTAAATATGAAGTGTTCCCCAAAGACTCATGTATTGGAGGCTCAATTACCAGTGTAGCACTGAACCTAGAGTGGTGTTTGGATTGGCTATTAGGAGGCAGGGTGTAGTTGGAGGAAGTAGGTCATTGATGGTATGCTTTTGAAGGGTATATCTTGTCCCCAGCAGCTCTTCTTCCTGCCTTCTTCCTCCTTATCCTCTTTTTCCTCCGTTCTCTCCCCCTTCTCCCAGCTCCTCTCGTTTGTCTCTTCCCTCCCTCTCTCCCTCCCTCCCTCTCCCTCCTGGCTTCCATGGGGTCAGCAGCTTCTCTGTGCTATAACCTCTGCTATAGGATCTGCCTCACCACAGCCCCACAACAATGGAGCCAGCTGACCATGGACTCCAAAACCGTGAGCCAAAATAAATCTTCCCTCCTTTAAGTTCCTATTTTCAGGTGTTTTGTTGCAGTGACAGAAAGCTGACTAATGCAACATCTACCAAGTGACTGGGATAGAAACCTAGGAACCATATTCTAACTATTTTCTCTCTTATGTCCAATTTGCAATTCTTCCTAAAAATTTCTTGCCTGTACTCATGTCTCCAGCGTTAAATTCGAAATCTTATTTCCTCATCTAGAGCAGTACTGTAGTCTAGTGACTTGTCTTCTTGCCCTTGTCATCCTCTATTCTTCTCCCCTCCGTGTGCATACCAGACAAATATATCCCAAGCAGAAAAAAAAATCTGCCCAGGTCATCTTTCTCTCTCTCTTTTTCTTTCCTTTTTTTTTTTTTTTTTTTTTTTTTTTTTTTTGTACCAGGAGTCAAACTTAGGACTTTATGCAGGTCACCTCTCAATCCTTCAGTAATTTCTCATTAACTGTTGATAATGACATTTCTTTGTATGGCATGCTGGGCCTTCCATAACTTGGTCCCTGTGCCTGCTGTTATTACTTATACTCTATCATCAACCCCTCACAGTTCACCAAAGATGAAGTACTCTTTCTTACTCTGTCCCTTTTCACTGCTGTCCTGTTTGCCTGTAAATCCCTTCCTCCATGTCTTGGAGCCTATGTAGTGCCATAGCTAGGAACACAGACTCTGGAGCCAAACTGTGAAAGTCCTAGTTTTGCCTTTGTGACCTTGGACAAGGTATTTGATCTCTTTCCATCCTCATCAATGAAATAGTGATTGATAATCCCTATTTTGTAAGGTACTGTGAGGTTTGAAAAAGTCAATATATGAAAAGTACTTGGAACAGAACCTGACAAACACTAAATATTGTGTGCCTGTTTGCTGTTATTTATCTCCCATGTTTTAGTTCAAGGGTCTTCTCCACCATCCTCTGAGCCATCCTTGTAACTTAAACAGTCCCTCTATCATCGCAACTTATTTATGCTGTATTGTTTCTTTACATGGGTGTGTTCTACACGTTGAACTTCTTTTTTTCAGTGTTTTTGAGACACGGTCTCCTTATATAGTCCAGATTGACCTTGAACACACTATGTAATCCTGGCCAGCCTTTCTGTTAGAGAAAAGAAACAAATCACAAATAAAGGAAAGCCCATCAGAATCACAGCTGGCTTTTGGGTTCTGAGTCTATTGTAAGATTCTACCTCTGTAACTTATTGGGGATGAGAAGTTGCTGCCTGTTTGGCCTACCCTCTAGATCTTTGGCACTGGCCTATAGTATTGTTTGTGACCCTTAGGTAATCTCAGTCTTAGCATAGCAGAAAGAACAACTGATTAGAGCAATTATGTTGGCTAAAGTGGTACAATTAGCAATAACAATAGCATCAAACATAGCATAGAAAATGACAAACCATGGTAACAATTAATTTGCCACCTTTAATTGTATGAACTAGATTT